TACCACCCGAGCTACAAAAAAAACAATCAACACCGTTGTTTACAAAACTGATATATATATATATATATATATATATATATAAAGTGGTGAAGTTCGTCATGTAAAGAGCAAATGAAGTGTGAACGGTAAAGCGATGAAGCACTGGATAGTTGTTTCTACCTTGGTGAGTTTCATCAATCGAGTGACTCCAGCAATCAGCCTGGGGGTCGAAACTGGGACCTCACAGGTAGAACGCAAGCATTCTACTCACTCGGCTACCGGGCAGCCGATCAGACCGTTTTTCATGTTCCTTGTACATGACTAAATTCAGTACACAATCGAATCAAATCATCCATCATGTAACAAACAGTCGGGTTTCCGACCGAATCATAAACCCGGTGGTTATTGCTGAGATGAGCGATAAGATTGAAAAGACGAGTTTCGTTATCTTGTGTATGAGGAAAATGATAAACGGTCTGATCAAGTGCCCGGTGGCCGAGTGAATAGTACGCTTGCGTTCTACCTGTGAGGTCCCGAGTTCTTCCTCAGTGGGGTCGATGGATTCGAACAGCTGATGAAACCCAACTAGGTCGGAACAAATGTCCAGTGTTTCATAACTTTACCGTTCACGCTTCACTTGCTCTTCACATTGCAAACGATCAAAGTCGAAAGCACAGTTTGAATACTGTGGATGCAATTAGGAATTATATTCAATGGATCAATTGGTATCCTGAAATCAACAGTGATAAAACTGATAATTTGACTCGGGCTATTTCGAATATGATTATTGTCGGGCTCACGGAGAAACTGATGTACCGATAAATTGTACAGAGGTACTGACCTGTGCCAACAGAAAAATCGTACTGGTATACCCGTGTTCGAATAGCAGTCGTTCCGGACACAGTTCAGAATCCGAATCTTTGTTTAACTGGCCGTCACCGAGGCTTTCCACACACTCACGAAATTGTATAGTCTCCCAGAATGTGGGACCGATTTGTTCGGGATTCTGTTTCAGATACAGCTCATGCACCCGTTTGGCACTGTGGAGCCAATGCATTGCGGACAAATCAGATTGATCCAGATCGGACGTTCCAGGCTGTTGCACATTTCGCACGGACAGGGAGGCAGCCAACAGATTGAATGTGCTTTGAAATAGGCCGGCGAATATATTGAGCATGAACATGTCAGACCGGTCTAATTGGGTTGGATACTTTTCTGTGAAGAGAAGTTGCAAACCAATAAGACAAAATGAGGGTGAATTATATTGACAAATGATGGGAATTTAATGAGACAATGAATCATGACGGAAAAAAGTTGTGGGTTGGTACGATTAAGAATATATTCGTACTGAAAAACAACGCAGTCACGGGAAAAAAGATATTAACCGATAAACTTGCAAAGACAAACCATAAGATGTAATACAAATGCATATATTGACGCATCTGTACCGAAGAAAAAATAGCACACAGACTACATCTGGTGCTATTCGTGTACTATTCAACAAGCAAATCAGGACATTCCCGTTTCAACTGAAGAATTGGGAAGATATCAAGTTAATTTTAGGATCACTGCTTTTCACTGCACTACAGAAATGATGTGACAAATATTTCATATCGTTAAGTACGAGACGATCGAACGAAGCAGTCACAAGGTGCTGGTAGGTCTTTTAAGTTACCTCCTTTCAAGGGTCCTGTCAACATGTAGAGAACGACTAGCAATATAACTGTGAGTCGGTATTGTTGATCTTTTATTGCATGGGACACCAAAACCTGAA